AAGAATAGGGTTACATTTTCTATGTAATATTGTATCGAATTTCACATTTTCATTGCCATGACAAGACAGTGCCATAATCCCAATAAAAAATGTAAAAATTTAAAATGATTTCAACAGCTCAAATAGCACATGTTGGCAAAACAATTAAATGTGTTTTTAAGTAATTATATGATTCCCATTTCTGCTTAAAAAAAAATTGTTTGAATTGTAAAACCTTTTGTTTGTTTGTTTGTTTGTTTGTGTGTGTATGTATGTAAGTATTTATTTTGTAAGAAAACACAGAACAATTTGAAATTACTTTTCTGGTACTCAACATAAAGCCACAAATATGGTCAATATTCAACTTAATTTGTATTGAACCCCAAATATAGCAATGGAAAATCCAGGCTGGATATTTCTCAAAACTGACAGTATAGAAAATTCAGGCCAATTTATCTTTAGTCATGCATTTACTTGATGTTATTATCTTTTAGCCTATTGCAATTATCTTTTATTGAGTGCTCATTATTTGCAAGTAACTTCTATAAAAGTACTTTTTATATTCGTACTGAGTCCCCGTCACTGAATTTGCCATAAGTTACTGCCTTTTTTGTCTTTTCGAATAAAGAAATGGCATATATGTGAATTAACTTGGCAATTTGCCTGGCAAGGTTGCATCTGCCACCTTTATTGCATCTGTTCATCCTTCTATTCAACTATTTGTCCATGCTTTGTGGTCTAGTGTTGAGCTCAGGCTATTTAAACTCACCTCCCACCTCCACTCCTCTATTTCCCTCCACTCTATGGGCTATAATGAGCCAGCCAGCACAAAACCAGGAAAACTTAATGAGTCATTACAAATCAAGGCCTGCAACCGCTCTCACCCATCCTCTTTTATGCTCTTAATACCTCATTCTCCCTCCCTTCTCCTCCCTCTCTCCCTCTTTCTAGGCCGGCAGAATAAGCTTCGACACCTCCCTATCTATTAGAAACAATTAGGAGCCCACAGCTCCTGGTGCGGACTCAAAAGAACTTCACATCTCAAGGGCTCATGGCTCCCTAAGTAGCCGTGCTCAATGAGGAATGTAGAGGTGGCCCTTTCACACCCGTTACATACCTCTCCCGCTCGGTGCCTCTCACTCTCTTTCACTCTTTTCAGGGAACAAGCATCAGATGAAAACCAAAGTTGTCAAAAAAGGGACAGAATGGCCTGACTGAATGAGTGTAGGGTGTTTTATTTTTCCCTTACATCTTGTTCCAGAGCTGCAAAGTCATATTACACCATCAGTGTCATTCGCTAGCTGAATAAGCCATGGCAAAGTGCCATGACATGACCAAAAGCGACAGAAGGTTAGGCCTGATGCCCCTCTACAGGAAAAAGACGTGTTAACAAACAGAACAAGAGTACAGCTTGTACCATCTGTAGTCCATAGATATAAAAAGAACTGAGGATCTGTGAAGCGTTTGCTTTCCCGGCCTCAGCAAAGCGATGCCCATTTTTGTAAAACAAATCCATGCACAGACAGGACATGAAAACGATTTGTTGTAGTTAACGATTTCTAAGTGAAACGCGATACTTCGTTTAGAAAACGCTTGTGAGATGTCCCAAGGCAAGCGCGGCTCCGCTGCACTTTTTTCAATAACAAAATCCAAAATGGTATTCCGCCTACCTAGCGTTTTAGCATTTGTGAAGATATTCATTGTTCCTCTTGTGGGAACAGGGCTTTTCTTTCAATTTTCTTCACTGGCTTTTGAAACTGCATTCCACACTGAGCCCTCAGAGGGCAAATAGGGGAGATCACATGGGTTTGGAAAGGTTTAAAATGGCAAATCCCGTTCAATGTGTCGTTTCCCCAACTACACATCAATCTCATGTCTGAAACCTTCTTCCCAAGAGAAAAGGAGAAGATGGTAAGAGATTCTCCAACTAGAGAAGAGGGGCTTTGGGATCTACACACATTCTCCAACATATGTAAGAGGAGAACAGACACAGAACGACAGACTGAATGATAGACATAAAATACAATGGCAGATTAATCAGAAGAACGATAAATAGACAAACAATAGACCAGTGGTTTTCAAACTTGTTCCTGGGGACCCACAGCTCTGCACATTTTGCATGTCTCCCTAATTTACACACCTGATTCAGATCATCAGCTCATTAGGAAAGAGCTCCATGAACTCAAATGAGTGTGTCAGATAAGGGAGACATGCAAAATTGTCTCCCTTAGCTTGGTCTGTTGATGGTGTTGCTCTGGAGTTACAAAGTAAATTTAAAAACCTGGGCGTTATTTTTGATCCCAGCTTGTCATTTGAACCTTTCGTGCTGAACACTGTTAAGACCTCGTACTTTCATCTCAGAAATATTGCACTGCTACGACCTATGCGGTCTTTCTCTGTTGCTGAAAGGTTAATTAATTTGTTTGTCTTTTCTCGTCTAGACTATTGTAACGCCCTTCTTATTGGAGTCTCAAAATCTTGTATTAACAAACTTCAACATTTACAAAATTCAGCAGCCAGAACTCTTTCAGGGGCCAGGGTTGTTGATCATATAACTCCTGTTTTGGAATTATTGCATTGGCTCCCGATTAGATTTCGTATTGATTTTAAAGTTCTCATGTTAACATACAAGGCACTGCATGGTCTGGCTCCTCAGTACTTGGCTGAG